TGTTACTATTTTATTGTGATGACGGTAAACACTAATAAGAAAGCTCGATCAGTGAAATATATTTAAAGGAATTTATAAAGATTAGAAACATGATTTTATTGGTGAGATTTTAGGTACCATTTAAGTTAATACATTATTTGTGTTGAAATAATCATTATAATCAACTTTTGAACCCATTCCAAAATTGGAACTCTTTTTTAATATACAGCATTGCTTTTGGGCTCCTAATGTGACAAGATTAGTTTTGAATGTATAGTATTTAGGAAATTTCTCAAAATAGGAGTAAACAAGTTTTCAAAATAGGGTATAAATAACCGACGTGAAAACCCTCTTTTGTAGTAGTGATTGGGATTACATTTGAACTTGTGACTTCCTCCTTGAGAGTGTCACAGTGATGCCATTAGACCACAAGATACTTGGCAATCATATTTTTGTTTGTACACTTACTTAATTATTGAAGTATTTTTTCAATGCCTCAACTATAAAAACATCTCATATTAAGAAGTTGAGAATATATTTTTAGATTTTTCATATTGGTTCATATACTTAAAATTTTTTCAATAATTCGTATTCCTTATGATCTTTTTGGAAATTTGGAGCTTTGTAAAAACTGATTTGTAAAATCGATTTAGAAGAATTTATAGAATTTAGAAACATGATTTCATTGATGAGATTTTAGCTACCTTTTATTCATTTAAGTTCTTTCAATATTTTCTTTGTGTTGAAATAATCTTTGTATTAGAAAGTGCTGAAATAATCTTTACACTCCAATTTTAAATCAATTCCAGAATTGTAACATTTTTTTATAAAGGATTGTTTTTGGGATCCTAATGTGCATAAATAAGTCTAGAGTGTATAGTTTTTATTTGTATTCTTTTTAAAAAGTGTGTAACAGTTGGAATATTTTTTTATTATTGCTATGTTGGATCCAACGCTAAATACTAAATGCGTTCATGTGTAATTCCATCTTTTTCATCGTTTCACGTTTCCATCTAATCATTATTTTATTGTGACGATGGTAAAATTAATTTGTGAAATCGATTACAGGGATATACAGAAACTTAAAGACATGATTTTTTGACGAGATTCTAGGTACCATTTAATCAAGTTGACTTTTTTTATATGGTCTGGAGATAATCCAAACAGCCTGGAATATTGTAAGTTTGTAACTCTTCTTCAAGTAAAGCATTATTACTGTCGGGCTCCTAATGTGCTTAAATAAGTTTTGGACGTATAGTTTAGATATTACTAAATATAAGTTCACTCTTACAAATTAAGCCTTTATTCATTATTCTATCATAGTAACTCTAAATTACTTAGGAGTTGGTCCAAGATGAGTACCACCAACAATAAAACACACTTTCGAGAGTTACCTGACTTATTAATATTGGATGAGTACATGAAATGAAATTTTAACATTTCGTTTTTATTGCATAAATTTTAATAGTTACTTTACTAAAAAGAATTGTACTTAATGAGCTTTTGGAGCATTTTTTTCACACTCCTACGGTTGACCGTGTCTTGAACCCACAATTTTTTTAATTTTGGAATAAACCACAATATTGTTTATTTTACCAAAACTGCAATATTAAATTATACGAAGTATACATTAAATAGAAAACATACTATCCCTCCGTCTCTTTTTAATCGCAATATGTTGAATTTTACACTGTTCATATGTTCTACTTTGACTACATTTTATATTATTATTTTATGAAAATTATTATTTAAAAAAAATATTGTTCAATTCATCTCATTACAAATTTTCAAAATATAATTTTTAAATATTTTTTACTAATAGAGATTAAGATATAATTACGGCCAAAGACGTGCGTTGGCAAGTGTGAAATGTTGACCGTTGCAACTAAAAAAGAACGGAGGAAGTACATAGGTTAAAATCAATGTATATATGTAAGACGAACTACACTAAAATTCCTAAAGTATACATATTACTATTATGAAAAATAAAATTAGAATATGTTTAGTATACTGTGGACCTAAATATATTAAAACTAATCTGGAAAGTTTGCTTGGTGAAGAAAAAACTGTATGTGTGCCCAATTGAAGAGCTTTCCGAGCAAGAAGGTGAGCAACTGTATTAATTTGCCTTTAACAATGAACGACGGTTGCCTGGAGAATAGCAATTACCCAGTTGATTTCATCTAGATAGGGCGCTGAAGTAGATTTTTTGAGAGCTTTGCATAATACCTCCGAATCGGTTTCAATCGGGACCTCTCATATCTCATCCTTTGACACCATTTCAGAGCTTCTAGCAATGTCCGAGCTTTTGCCTGAAGAACAGACCCCACCGCCAAAGGAAATGAAAGCGCGGAGATAAAATTTTTGTCTGCATCGCGGAGTATAGCACAACCAGCGGTTTTTCCATCACCAAAAGAAGCATCAGCACTGAGACGTAGAGAGTGAGGGTGAGCAGTTTTCCAAACTAATACTCTAATCAATTCCGAACATGTAGAGGAGAAGAAGTTAAACTTCAGAACACGTAGAGAAAACTTGCAACGAACGGTTACGTTTTAGGCTTTTAGCAATCCCTGAGGCCTCTATTCCTTTCCATTGCCATATAGTAATAGAGAAACTTAGTACACCATCATAACACACTACTATGAAGCTTAGATTGTTACACTAAATATGACCTCTATCAAGTGAAAAGATGTCAACAAATATTCTAGTTGGAGGTGCAAAGATGCATGCAAATGTATATCAATATCAATAGACAATATATTGATGACAAAAGTACGTTAAATTTGAGCAAATTTTGAACACGTATATTTTCTGCCTCTTAATATATGTTAAAAGTATGTACTCAAAAGAAGAATTAAGAACCGAATATATGTTAAAAAATATTTGCTGCCTCTAAATATATGTTAAAAGTATGTACACAAAATAATTAATGTCAATACAAAAAAAATACACACACAGAAATGTATGTACCTCCTTAGCAGTAATTATGTCATAGCGTAATGAAAAAAATTGGTTTGTAATATCTAAACACCTTAGAGAAGCTGGTTCAGATTTCAGAAAAACCTAAATGCAGCAAATAATGAAAAATTGCAACAAAAGAAATGTGTATAAAATTAATCTAGCAATAAACAAATGGGGTCTTAGACATGAATGAACGAATGGGTCTTAAACATGAGTAAATTATCTAGTAAAACACAAATGAAATACTTGTTCAACTGTAATCGGGATAAGAGTATTGAGTTGTAAGAGGAAGAAGAAAAGAGCTTTAAGGAATCTCTGAGGAATCGGCAGAATTATGTAAACGATTTGAACTTGTGTTTCGGATGGTTGTTAATAGTTTCGGATGTGCGTGAGAAGTTAACCAAACTCCATCAGATCGAATGCTTCATTTCGGGAAGAAGAGTCGGGAAGAATGGGAAGAAAGGACTTAGAAGCTGTTCTCTTCGCCTGATCTGAATGTTTCTGATCTGAATTTTTTAAGTTCTGATCTGATCTGATCTGAATTTTTCTGATCTGAATCTTTCTGATCTGATCTGATCTGATCTGAATCTTTCTGATCTGATCCGATCTGATCTGAATCTTTCTGATCTGATCTGAATCTTTCTGATCTGATCTGAATGTTTCTGATCTGATCTGAATCCTTCTGATTTGATCTGAATCTTTCTGATCTGATTTGAATGTTTCTATGATTATAATTATAATTATAATTATAATTATTATAATTGCAATTACAAATATAATTTAAATAAAATTATAATTATAATCGTAACTATAATAATAATAATAATAATTAAAATTAAATTTAAAATGAAAAAATTTATACCTATTACACTAATTATAAACATAGATATAATTATAACTGTAATTATATTTTTGATTATAATTACTTATATAATTATAATTGTAATTATAATTACAATATTTATCTCTATAACTGTAACTATAGTTATCAATATTATTATAATTACTCCGTAAAATAATTACAAAAGTAATAATAATAATAATAATTATTATTATAATAAAAATAATAATTATAATCATAAATTATAAGTATAATATAATTATAAGTATAATTATAATTATTATAATTATAATTAATAATAATTATAATTATATTAACATTAATTAAAATATTCTAATATAATAATATAATTATAATTATTATAATTATAATTAATAATAATTATAATTATATTAGCATTAATTATAATATTATAATATAATAATAGTACTATAAATACAACTAATATTATCATAACGATATTATTATATTAATTAATATTATTATTACAATATATTAATAATAATACGATTATTATTATTAGTATTACTATATTATTATAATATTATATTATAATCATAATCATAATTATGATTATAATGATAATTATACTTATTATAATTATAATTAATTATAGATATAATTATAATAATTACAATTGATTATACTTATAATTATAAGAATTATAATTGTAATTATAATTATAATTACATATAATTATAATATAATATTATAATAATATTAATCATATTATTGTTATATTGTAATCATAATAATAATAATAGTCTTCTTAATAATTGCATTTATATTACTATTATTATATTAAAATATTATAACTATTATTAATATCTTATTTCTTTATCATATTATTATTAATATATTAATAATAATTATATAATAATAATAATCATAATAGTAATAACAATATTAATAATAATAATTAATATAATAATAAAAGTGATAAATCATGTTTGAACTTTTCTGATCTGATCTGAATGTTTCTGATCTGATCTGAATGTTTCTGATCTGATCTGAATGTTTCTGATCTGATCTGAATGTTTCTGATCTGATCTGATCTGAATCTTTCTGATCTGATCTGATCTGAATCTTTCTGATCTGATCTGATCTGAATTTTTCTGATCTGATCTGAATTTTTCTGATCTGAATAAAATAACAATAAGCAATAAGTAATAAGAATAAGACGAACAGAGCAACAGATTAATTAAGTATATATTCTGTTCGAGAAAACTGGAATGGATGGAGTATATTTTATTAACACTGAACACCTACATAAAATTCGGTGTAAAACAACGAGATCATGCAAACAGTATATTCTCTATCGATCTTACCAGTATGTAAACTAATCATAATTATTCCTACTACCAAGCTAGAAAGATCACAAACGGCCAAGTTTTTCAACAAGCCCATTCTCTATTTCTACTCTCTTCTTCATCAGCAAACCATACTTGGCACCAATGGCTTCGTCACTTGCTTTCACCGCAAGTTTACAGTTAAGGGACGTCTTCTCCATCTTATCAACGTACATGCTCGCGATGGGTACAAACCTTCCCTTCTTGTGACACAGCCAACCGTGAGCAGCCCTTAAAGCACCCCCAAGTGACGCTGAGTCTGTTAAGCAACGTGTGAAGTTTTTGTTCAGCAAGGGGGAAAAATGACCAATAGAACTCGAATAAAAGTAATGGACAAAATATGTTTTGTAATATGTTGTCACAGTTGTGGCATTTTCACAATGACTTTACTCAGTATCCATGTAGTATGGAATACTAGATATACTTACAAGTTACAATCAAAGATAGAAATTAAAGGATATGAAAAGTCAAGCAGGGGAAGATGACTTTAGTTTGCATAAAAGCACTAACCAGGCCGCTGCACGGTATAAACATCACAACCAAAAATGGAAGCTACCATGCTCAGAATGTTACTATTAGCCGAAGCCCCACCAGTGGCAATCATTCTGTTTGGAGGAGAAGGGAGTCCAAATCTTTCTGCATGAGCTCGTATAGAAAGCAACTGTCCCTCAATAACTGCCCGAACCTGAAATTACATTTCTCAATTCTGTAAAAGATGGATTCAAGATTTCTAGGCTACAAATTAGATTTATAAATTCAGACTTAAATAGCTACCAACCTCAGAAGGAGGATCAAACTCTTTCACTTCACATTCTTCTACACCTTCTAGAGTGTCTCCCGAGAAATTCTTAAGAATGTAGCGGTGATATCCAACTATACAAAGAAGCAACTTCTTTAAATTATCAATTCTTTGAACCAGAATAATAAATATGATAGAATTCATTATTAGATTGGAATGGAATCGCTCAACTTCACTATAATGCACATGGGTGAAACTACACTAGATAAAATGTACGGAGTAAGCAATTAGGCAGTCTAACTCATGGCCTAGTAACTCATTGCTCTCTTTAATTTTTCAATGTGACAGGCTTTACAAAACACTCCCTCGTATTAATTACAAGGTCTCAGTTTTGATCTACACAAATGACACATAGTTATGCAAGAAAACCTTTTGCATTGACTTTCCATGTAAGCTTTACGTCAATTAAATCAAAATGCAAGGGTAATAGACTAATATTGACATTTTCCAAAACGAAAGGTCAAAGCTTGTTTCTGGGACACGAGTTGTATTGTAGCTAGACAGTTATATGTTTATTTTCAGATGTTGCCTCCTCAGATGATATGTTCTACAGAATTGTAGAACTGAATAAGTAGGCTTACCAGGAAGAGGAGGAAGTATCTCATGCTCCTTATAATAAAAGCCTAACTTGCCACCTATGGAAATCCAATATCACAAGTCACAACTATCATCAAACCAACAAAAAAGAAAATGGGATTAATGCTGCAGGAAAAGTCATTTTTTTCTAACCATTCAGAGGTGGTGTTTGCTCTAGATGCTTATTGAAGATGTCCCAAGATTTTTCTGCACACCTATTCCGTATATCTAAGGGAGCATGTCAATAGTCAAACAGTTAGCAGTGTTTCCCTAATTTTAATTCAACCCAATCCCTTATATGACTAGATATCCAAATGTACCTTCACGAGTGAGTGAACCATTCTTATAGCATAACATGACCATGTAACCTTGTGTATCCACAGGATTGGGAAAGACATGCCCTTCCAGGCTGGGTTGGTGATCAGTGGTGATTCCAAACACCTAACCAAACAAAGATTAACAATAGGCAGTCATGATTCATGAATACAGAATTACATAGTCAATCTCTACAATTTGTCTGCATTAAACTTTTGCAAGAGGGAAATGATAAAAAATAAAGAAATAGAAATATAGGCTCACTGTGTCACTTGTGCCAAGACTAATTGCCAAATCACCAGGAGTATTAAGAGTCAAACCTACATACACAGCAACATAAAATCAGCACTTCTATTGACAATACATAAATCGCTAATTCAGAAAGAACAAATCTTCACCTGCCAGGCTGTTTGGATTATCTCCAGACCAGTTAATAACCAAACAGTCCTTGTTAAAGTGATACCTACAAATCTACAATATATTAATTTGAAATGCATTGGTCAAAGTCAAGCTAATTTTCTATTTTTGCTTCGTGAATATAAAAAAGACACAACAGTTATGAGATTCAATCAAATAGTTAGGTGATTTATAACATCAAAGATATATTCTTGTCAGATAGTCTTGTCAAAAGGGGCACTAAAACATCAAAGGCACAAAGCTATACTTTTGTTATAAAAACACCAAAGATATAGTAAACACAAAGTACTTCAAGTGTAGTGCCCAATAAATAATCGTGATCAGTCTGAATAGCATAAATCAGAACCTTATAATAGTATTACAGGCACAAAACAATTTGCATATTACTTAGACACTAACCTCTCCACAAAATAAGGAGCAATGTAACCTGCAACATCATATGCAGGGGCTAATTTCCCCAACTTTTCCTCCAAATCTGGTGCTGTTGCCTATATAAAGAAAACAAGATAATCACTTAAGGGTCCAAAGTTTTAGACATTCTAAAAGTTTAAACTGACAAACCTCAAGAGCTGGCTTTGACCAAGCCCTCTGCTTGATATCCATTAGATTCATCCCGGCCCCATCAGTATGATCAATAGAAGCATAACCTCCAATAAACAGGGACGCCATGAAAGAGCTAACAAGGGAGATTCTTTCTGTACGCTTATAGATATCAGGATGTGTCTCAAATACCCTCCTTATTTGTGGGCCAGTGAATCTTTCATAGGCACGAGAACCGGTTATTCTAGACAATTCCAATGGACCTCCAACAGCTTTCTCGATTTCCCTGCACTGCTTACTTGTGCTACTGTCCATCCATATAGGAGACTCTTTGGTGGAAAAAGCTTCACTAAGCTGCTCAACCAATGGTGTCTTGGGATGTAATGATGACAATATTCTATCACTCCCGTTCTTCCAATACACACTACCATGTTGCTGCCCGCTGCCTGAAAGAGCAAAGACCTTTCCAAAATCAAACTTGGACTTCTCAAGTCTGCATAGGACAAGTTCCAAAGCTTCCACCCACATTAAAGTGGGTGAAACTATTCTCCCGTTGATTGAAGTATCCCGATAAATGCCATCTTTGGTTTTGTAATGTGGTAATTCAGAATCAAAATTAACCATCTCTGTAGCAACAATATTTAGATTGGCATCGAGCACGGTCACCTTCATCGACCTAAACATATTAAAACCGAGTCATAATTCACTTAGATTCACTCATATCAGACAAATGAAAAATACAAAGCAACATTGAAGAGTTGAAAGTGTTATTAGAGTATGACAGGTTTCTCATATAAAAGATCGAATTACCACTCCTCGATCAATTCAGAGCCTTAATAGATTCAATTGTAGTCCTATATTTAGCACAGTTTTTTTCAAACAATTTGTAACAAATCCTCATTTGATGACCAATCCTGAAAATATTACAATACTACATATATAATTTACAGGCAAAATTATTAAGAATTTGAAGTTATGATCATGATCAGAGTTGAATTGATATCGATCGAACACCCATATATAGTAGATATTCAAGAGCTGAGTATAAGAAGGCACAGATTTCACAAGCATAATTGAAAGCAAGGAGCCAATGATCGGCATTTTAAAATACGAATGATAACGAAAGAAGAGTCACTCACTGAGTTGAACTATCAAAGCCGAGAAAGAGAGCATCATTTGGGAGGATTGAGGCCTCCATTGCTGTCAAGGTACTGCAGATTCTATTGCCAACTAAAAGTACAATCAGATTCCAACTGGATAATGATAATGAAGTACTTCGTAGGCTCGTACGTATAGAAAACGTCTTACTCGGATTAGACTTTATTCTGCACAAGAGTCGGAGACGAATCAAACGAACTCAGAAAGATAAAATTACTTTCGGACCTAGGATCGACCTTATCCAGACTAGTTGGGCATAGGGATCGATCGCAATGGGCGGGTTTGGGGCGGGTAAACTCCCCATCCCCGCCCCATGTCTAAAAAGTTTTCCCCATCCCCGCCCCATCCCAGTTATTCCCAGACTCGCCCCATCCCCGCCCCATCCCATTGTCCCCCACGGGTGCCCACGGGTGCCCGCATATAAATTTAATTATCGTATTTGCATATACTTTTAATCTCTTATTATAAATATATGTAGTGCGATTCCAATGAAAACGATGCTTAACATAGGAACACTCACATTTAATCCAATGTGATACACAATAATCCAATGTGATACACAATAGAGTCATTCTAGTACACATTTGGACTTCGCTCAATACAAGCTAATATAAATAATCAGGGTGGAACTTTTGTAAATATTATGCTAGATACAAAAAAGGTCCATTGTGCGAGCTGCTTCACATTGGGGGTAAATGTTGTGTTCGCACGTTCTCATGTTAAAAATTGTTCTCATTTGATCCTAAGCCTATATATATCTACGCGCACACATTGATATATGATACACACACGCACACAACACTGAAGTATTGTGTTTGTTAAAAGTTAATACCACCAATTTTAATAATTCTTCAATTTGAATAAGTTTTGTGAATTGAAGACAATTAAAGTAAAAATATAAGTAAACATATTGTCATCTTGTACGTTGTTTCAAAATTCTCAACAATTATAATACAATTAATTACATATTATATTACAAATAAATGTGTGTGTATTTATTTACTCACTTTATACGGAGTAACATTTATGATAAATATTTTTAATCATCACTAGCTTATTATTATTCTAGTATAATATGTATTAATTCATTAACCATGATTAAACCGTATACAGTTATGTATGTCTATATGTATATGCGTTTGTTATATACTACAAATAATTTGATTTAATATGTGTGTACATTATTTATATATGTGTATATATATGTTTGAGTATATATTTATAACGGGGACAGGGCGGGGACGGGACGGGTGTAACAATACCCGTCCCCGCCCCATATTTTAACGGTGTAAAAATATTTCACCCATCCCCACCCCCACCCCACCCCAAGCCCCACCCCATCCTTCCCCCGCGGGGCGGTTCCCCACGGGTTCCCGCCCCATTGCCATCCTTAGTTGGGCACCCTCGTCATGGGTTTCAAATTTTAGGACTGAATCAGTGTTGGTGTATGTTCATTTGGGATTTTAAGATTTTGGGCCATGTTGAATGGAGTTACGGACTGTTGTCTATTACTCTCTAATATTTTTTTTCAAAATTGAGGCTGGGCCTGATTTTTATGCATATATATACTAGTTAAAAACAAAAAATTGAGAGTGGGCCTGGGCCCTCTCTGGCCTAAGGCCTAATCCGCCCTGGTCCCAGTTTCGATTTCGGTCCCTACGCTTAAAAGAACTCCTAAAAAATCAAGGATTGGGGTCTAAAACCGGGTATCGGATCGTTCGAGTACCCAAAACAGAACTAAAACCCTAAATACCCGGGGCTAGGCCCAATCCTCAATAATAATTTCCAATGACTGTCTAGGCCGGGCTGAGACCGAGTCTATACCTATTCAGATATAATAATTTGTCCCCAGGGTAATTCTAAATGCACACCGGTTTTTACTAAGGACAACCTCCTTTTTTAATTCGTTTTTAACAAAATGATTAATTTTACAAACTTGCCCTTAGTAAAAGTATTTTCATTTCTACTTGCTAAACATATCCTTACACCGCACAGGCCTAGACCGGAAGTTATGTACGTAATACAGTAGTCCATATATAGATGGTAAAGGCTAAATAAGGCTCAATCTTGCAGAGGAGGTGGAGGCTACGGTGGTAGGAGGTACAAAGAAGACGCTATGTCGGAGGTGGTGGGAGGCACAAAAAGACGCGGACTCGGAGGATGCATAAGTGATCACCGCAAAGGCTGTGACGCCGGATATGGAGGTGGCGGCTATGGACGTGACTGAAGCTATGGCAGCGCCGGTGGTGGCTATGGCGGTGGCCGGCGGTGTTACTCCAGGAGAAAAAAGAGCTAACTACTCTCATAGGATCTCTGATTTGAATACGCACATGTATATATATTGAATTAAAAATATTGAATTAAATTATAAATTCATATTAGCATCAAAGATAGCAACGATTCATCAAAGATGCACTCTGATTTAGTGACTGGATTTTAAAATAGGAAAAATTGAAAATAATAATCCCAACTATTGTCGGTCCGCTGACAATAATCCCAACTATTGATTATTTTTGTATAATCCCAACTATATAGACTGTCCGCCAATAATGGTCCGTGACTAGATATTACATCTATAAAAAGTGAATTTTAAATAGAAATTAAGCGTAAAAATTAAAAGTTGAGATTATTTATAGGGATTACTTGCTATATCTCATCCCATCCACTTTAGAAACTACAAGAATTTATTCATAGGGACCATTATTGGCGGAAGGTCCCTAAAGTTGGGATTATTCTGGAATAATCAATAGTTGGGATTATTATGAGCGGACCGCCAATAGTTGGGATTATTACAATCAATTTTTCCTTTAAAATATAATACTGATACGGTGCTCTAAAAATGGGCATTTGATGCACTCACAGTGATTCATCACCTAGGCATTTTGAAAATGGCAAAATAAGCGACTCAATTACTAGTGAATGATAAATAACACTGACATGGTGCTTAAGCTTCACAAGAACAAATTACTTCTAAGAACTGATAAGGCAATGAAAAGCAGATCCGAAATGATGGATGAACGCATTAGCCCTATCATTGGCAGCAGAATTTTGGACCGATTCTGCATCAGAGGTCCAAATAGAATGAAAGACAATCTGCCCTCCAATTTGATGAAGATGAGAAGCCAGTTGAACCAGTGAAGTTGCAAAAGGGTGATGCTAGAAGACTAGAAGGCTCGAAGCGTCGAACTAGATCAAAGAAGACGTTGGTATGGAATTAAGTGACCGGGGATATAATAGGCATTACATTTCTATTTAATTAATTAATTTCAATTATGGGCTGTGAATATCAATTATGTGGCTGCATTTAGAATTACGCTTGTCCCCACGTATTATTGAATAGAAACACTACATGTGAAATACACACATTATATTTAAATACTTTGAGAATATTTCCAAAAAACTATTTTAAGATGTTTTTGAAGGGAAGTTTAACCAAATTCGAGTTAAAATAAAGTAAATTTTAAAACAAGAATACTAAACATTTTCAATTAAGAGGCACGTCTTCCTGCCATTTTCTAAATATATATATTATCATAGTTGACAATATTTTTCAAACATGACAGTAATTACTCATGATATATTAGAAATAAAATCATATTGTTCCTATTTTAAAATTGCAAAACATTTTTTATCTTATTTGGGGAAGTATCATTTCTCAGAACTCTTTGCTCCATCCCTTACAACTTTATTATTTTTGACCAATTATATATTAATAAATGAAATTATTGATTATCAAAAGGATCTCAAAAAAAATTCTTAGAAAGAAGCTTATAAAATATACGTAATATAACTTATAAATTTCCCAAAGATTTATTAATAAATTTTGTTATATATAATTAATAATAGATAGATTAACATAATTAAAGGTTGCTTTATTAATAAGTAACACTTTAAGTTAAAACAAACTAGTGACAATTATATTCAACAATCAATGGATTGCAAGAACGACATTGACGACACTAAAGTTGTTGTGTGTCTCAAAATAAATTCACTACAAAAGGCTAATATCGTAGTATAATGTAGTAGAGTTCGTATCCACAAGGAAAGCTAAGGAGTTTTTCGCGTACGTGTAAGCATAATAATTGGGGGGATTGAATATTTTGATAGTTGAAAAACCAAATAAAATACTAAAATAAGTGAAATAAAATATCAAAGCAATCAGCCTTGGTTTTGCTAATTTCCATTTAGTTAAGTGCTTGTTGATCATTGTTACTACTTTAATTTTCACTCTTGAATGCTTAATTTTGGAGAAATTCCAATTCATCTAAAATAGCTATTAATAACGAAACGTGTTCCTTAATAACTCTTACTATTAATTAATTAATATAGAACGATTACTTAATAGTAGTATTTGATCAATTTAATTAAATAAATTAAGAACGATAACTTGTAAACCGAGGTAAATATTCTCGACTGTCATAGCGAGAATCTGAGGTCTAGTTATTCTATCTAATTTATTCATTTGTATTTTGATGAAATCGATGAATATTGACAACCTCAAAACAAGCGTTTTTTTTTTGTTTAATCAATATAATTACTCCCTCTTACATTATTAACCATGAGACGCATGCATTAACAATATAAGTTTACTACTTATGAAAGGATCAAGTCAATAACAAGTGTATTCATTGACCGATTCTGGTAATAATTAATATGAAAACATCAACTAATTGATCACTTAGCGATGCTCAAATATCATTATGAAATATGAATAGGGGTAATAAATATTGAAGAGAGGAAGATTAAAGAAATTGTTGAGGTATATTATCCCGGCCTACTACTGTTCAAGGGTCCAAGATATTACTCCAGTTCAGAGCCCGGATGGCGGAGGCCATTCCAAGCCTATTAGGCCTGTTTTCGGCCTTTGGGCCCATTTCGGCCCAATTGGCCAATTAGGGTAGACCTATTCCCTACCCCTTTTCCCTATAAATATAAGGGTTTCCCTCCATGTTATGGGTTGGTCTCTTCTTCCCCACTTCTCCTCCTCCTCTCTAGAATAGATTAGCTAGCTTTATCCTCCATTAATGGAGCTTGAATATTGTACTATGTAATGGCGAGGAGAGACTAATGAGAATGAGGGGGCTTGGACATTAGCCTAAAGAGTCCTGTGGTTTTCTCCCTTTTGGGTTTCCACGTAAAAACTGAGCTTGTTCATACACATGTATACATATATTTACTATATCGTGTTGGATTAAACTCAACAAAAATAATTCACAACTTACAAATTACAAGCTTCAATAGCAAAATCAAGCCCAAAAGACTACCTAAAATACAAGAATAATGTCTATATGAAAGAGGGGATTGA